GGCCTGGAGTCAAGAAGTCTCATCTTCTTGAGCTTAAGTACAGTCTCAGACACTTACTGGGTGTGTGACCCTGGGCAAGTCACTTAACCCTTTTTGCCACAGTTTCCTCATCTGTAAAATGAGCTGGAGAAGGAAATGGCGAACCACTCTAGTACCTTTGCCAAGAAAACCCCAACAACAACAACAACAGTAACAAATATATATACAATATCTTTTGGCTCTCACCCACCTGCTTACCACACCCTTACAACTGTCAATCTTTGATCTCTGTGCGAAATGGTCATTATATTAACAAGCAGTTTAATTGGATTAAACAAAAAGTAACAAAACCAGAAACATTATTCCCATATAACCTACACTATAATAGACTATAGTTTCCATTGAAATAATAGATCCAGCCCCTTCCTAAGGCATAAACTCCTTTAAGCTGTAGTCTCACTCATCACTCCCAACCACAGCATGAGGTTCTCTCAGTGATGAGAGCTAGCCTAGATGTTCTATATCTTATTTTAGACTTTCCATCGCCCTGTGAAAAAGCACCAGATATGTATGATTAACCCAGGGTAGTCTGTCCAGTACTTAGCACAGTGTCTAGCATATAATAGATGCTTTACGTATGTTTATTGGTTGTCTACAGAGAGGTTAGTGTAGCTGAAGTGGAAGCTTTCAGTGATTTTCATGGTTGAGGGAGTATAGGAATAAGAGAACCCACGAATGTTCCCCAGAGTCTTAGAACCTCTGATTTTATCTGCTTTTTACCAAAATTTAGCATCATGATCCTTGAGGGCAGGGATGGTTCCTTCCTTTCTTCCTTTCTTCCTTCCTTCCTTCCTTCCTTCCTTCCTTCCTTCCTTCCTTCCTTCCTTCCTTCCTTCCTCCCTCCTCTCTCTCTCTTTTTTCTTTCTTTATTTCCTTTCCACTGCTTCATAAATATTTTTTGAATGATTATGTGTCTGTATGTCCGTAACATACCTAGCCCCAAAACAGGACTCTTATAAAATGCCCCAAAGGCTTTATTATGGGTCCTCTCTAAATGTCACTAATCTATCATGAACAGCAGCAGGGAGACAAACATGTGCCAGCTGCAATTGTGCCCCTCTTATTTCCTGACACAGCATTACCTTCAGTCACCGTGCAGTCCTGATGTGGGGACAAAGAGTGCCCTAGGATTAATGATATCAAGGGTTACTTTCCCAGGCCCCCTGAGAGAGTTTGAGGCTCATTCTGTAGCCCATCCTGTACCTTGAGATCCTGGAACTGGAGAACTTCTCAAGTCCTTTCCCCCTTATCTTGAAATGCCATACAACTCGTACCAAAAGAATTGCCTTTGTCTCCCTTATCCTGTGTTCCCTATCATGTCATTCATCTTCCTTATCCTGTCCCTAATCTCCAATGCACATAAGAAACCCTGAAAATACATCATCTTCCTAGGAGCTGTATAGTTTTCTGTCTATATAAGCCTGGGTTTTTTTTCCTATATCGGAGCCTTCAGTTTAGCTCCTTGCTAATCTCAGGCCCATGAAGCTTTCACAAAATAAAGTTCCCAATGGTTACAGAGATCCAAGCAAATTCTTTTCACACCTGAACCAGCTCTCCCAACTCTAAACCTCAGCAATCTTATATCTGATTCCACTGCCCTCCATCTCCTTTCCATGGTAGTCCAGAGGTCAAATTTGCAAAATGAAGGTATCTCTGAATATCAATGTACTGGGGAGGGACTAGACTGCTGCATCTCTTTTGGGAAACATAATTTCTTGTTGTGAATAATTAAGTTGACTTTTTGGTACTGTAAAGTCACATGCAATTTGGGCAACAAGGACTAGTTTTTCACAGAATCTGATCATACCTTGAAAGGCCAATCATTCAGTGTAGTCCTATTTAGACTAAAACTGGGATTACAGAGAAATAGTAGCATTATTTAGGGCTGTCTTGACTATCAACATATTTTTCTGTGTCTCTATCACCTAACCAACAAATCAAGGGTACCTATGTAGCATTCTTTCAATAAAAAAGAATGGGTGAGTATTAGTATGCTGGGAAGGAGGTAGTTTATGGTTTAGGAGAAAAGCAAACAAACAAACAAAAAGACCTTAATAGCATACTAAGCAAAAATACTAGGTCTGGGCATCATCACTTAGCAGTTTAGATCGGCAGCTCTCAGACTTTTTGCTCACAATACCACCATTAAAAATCATTGAGGACTCCAAAGAGTTTTTATTTATGTGGTTTATATCTATTGATATTTACCTTATTAGAAATTTAAAATCATAAATTTTAAAATATTTATCAGTTTATTTAAAAATAAAAATAGTAAGATCATTACATGCTAATATAAGTAATGCTTTAAAGGAAATAGAATAGCATTGTTTTATATATTTTTATAAATATCTTTCATGTCTGACTTAAGAGAAGACAGCTGTATTTTTATATTTGCTCTTGCATTCAATCACTTAGGGTAGGCTATTTTGGTTGAAGTGATGAGGATGGGATTGGAACCCCAAAAAGGAAAAACCCTGGACTTTCCCACAGTGGCCAAATCTCTGGCATTTGCCTGAAGCTATAATCCTATCAATTGGCCTTTCATTATCACCTATGCTCAGTCTCCCAATTCTATTACCTAGCCCTTTATTGTCTATTACTTCCAGATGGCCCCTGTCCACTTCTCACCCTTAATCCTATCTAGACTCTATTCTTGCTTGGCCACATGGTCTAGGTCCCAGGCATTCTATTCACCCCAGCTTACTGGCCACTCCCATCCAGATCTTCTTGAGACCCCTCTTCCAGTCATCCCAAACTACTTGACCACTCCGAGATCCCTCTCACAGTCTTTCTGTATGTAAATTCTATCTCCTCTTCATTGAAGTGCTAAGATTCTTAAAAATCTAGCCATGGCTCAGATTCCTTAAGAACCTAGCCAATAGCTCACAAATGTTCAGATTCCTTAAGAGTCTAGCCAATATGGCAGATCTTTAACAAACCTTGTCTCTGGCTGAAAGAAGGCTTGGGTTGAATTTATTTGGACAGGACCTGTGTGTTGTGATTTTGGGGTTCCAGCATCCCTAAATCTCTAGACCTGAACAGAATTATATGAAGAAAATCCAGTCTCATATAGATATATAGTTGGAAAAGAGGAAGAGGATTTTAATAGGCAAATGAGATCTTAGTATTATTACAAAAATAGTTTTGACATTGTGGATCTCCTGAAAGGATCTCAGAAGTCCAAGGGCCATACTTTGAGAACCATTACTTTGATGGTTTAAATGATCAGGGCTCCAGACTGTCGGTCTCTGTTGTCCAAATGCAACCAAAAGCATTCCAGAAAATTCATGGAAAAGCTGCAACTATGGATACCAGGGTTTCAATGATAAATATTATTTCTTGTATAATTCCTTGTCAGTAGTTTGCAAGCTATATGAAGGGCAGATACTGTTTCAGTTTTGTCTTTGTATCCTAAGTCCCCAGCCCAGGATTTTTCTTCACCCTGCCCACTTCCTCCTCTTCTTGGACTTTATTTATTCCTTTTCATTTTCATTTGTTTTCCCCTTTCCCTACCATGTTTCCTTGTCTTCTCTTCTTTACCCCATTTTGGCCTGGAGTCAGGAGACCTGGGGACCTATTAGGTGGGTGATCACCAATACTTACCAAATTATTTTACCTTCCTTGATTTCAGTTTTTTTCATCTGTAAAATGGGGGATTACTATATTTCTACTGTGGACTCAGACACTTACTAGCTATGTGACTTTGGGCAAGTCACTTAACCCTGTTTGCTTCCATTCTTCAATCAGTAAAATGAGCTGGAGAAGGAAATGGCATACCACTCCAGCATCTTAGTCAAGAAAACCCAAATGGGGTCATGATGAGTTGGACAGTACTGAAAAACGACCGAATAACAAACTTCCTACCTCATGAAATTATGTGAGTGTAAGAAGGGGGTGCCTTCTGAGATCTGAGCAAAATCTTAAGGTCTAAAAGCCTAAATGATACAGATGTTAAAACATAAAAGGCTTTCAGATCAAAATAGACATTTCCCACCCCAGAAAGGGTCTAAGGTCTGAATATCTTAGTTGCAACAGAAAAGGCTAGTAAGACAATGAATTTCCCTCTAACATACAGATGACATTCACATATTTGTCTTTAGCTACTCATCTAAATAAAATTCTTAGAGTTTGGGAGAGAGAACTGACTTAATTGGAAATGATCACCTTACTGAGGAATGGGACATCTGAGCCAAAAAGGATCGTTGAACTGGAGACATAGGCACTCTTCCATTTTCTTCTAGAAGTGGCAAATCGTTTTTTGTCCTTTTTTCTCGAAGACCATGACACTAGGAAGGTGATGCCATGACTTGCTAGTGAATTGGATTTAAGTGAGGGAAGGCTGTGCAAGATCACCAGCCTCATTCTCTCTTCTGCAGCCATCTGGGTCCAGCGGCAAGAGAATTTTTTAAGCTAAGATCTTTTCCAAGTCTCAGATTGAGGAAGGCAATACCCATTTAGTGAGAAAGGCCAAGTAAGAGATGAGGCAGAGAATGGGCCTAGTTACCTAGTTAAAAAAAAAAAGATACCTGGGAGGGGAAGACTCTCAGAGTTTCTGGCCAAAACAGAAACAATTGTTATTTACACTCACTGTGAAACACCAGGGCCCAAACAAAGACCAAGTGAGGTTTAGGCTGGGCTCTGTTGTTGGCCAATCAATGAAAGCCAGAGTGATTTGGGTTTAAGGCATGGTCCTTAAGAAAGAAATCTAGTGGGGTGGAGCTGGCTGGAGCAGAAGCTCCTGTGGGGGCGGAGCCTCTCCAGTGCTTTCTGCCAGGGAGGTCCCTGTGAGCCATGTGCATCCCTGGGCTGGCGGAGCTGCACCTGTGCTGCTGCATTGCTGGGTCTGGGCCCCCAGGATACGATTTACGGGAATTGCCACTTTGTTCAACTGACTGAGGTAACCATTGAATTCCAGTGTACAGAGAAAGTGGAGCATTAAGACTATCTTGTTTTCAGATGATCAGCAAAGGACCACCAGATAGGCAATGGGGAAGAACAAAGGGAAAGGGGAGAAGATCAAGAATGTCTTTCATATTGCCAGCAAGAATTTAAAAGCTAAAAATAAAGCAAAACCATTCACCACAAATCTTAAGAAGATAAACATTGTGAATGAAGAAAAAGCTAGAATTGTAAATGCAGCATTCATAGATATCAAAAAGAGCTTGCACACTTCTCAAAAAGGCTGTCACTTGAACCATTGCCAAAGCACCTGATTTCTCAGTGTTCTGAAGGTGAAACAATTAGTGTGAATGATGCTACTAGATTAATGGCTCAGTTGTAATATGTATTGGAAGTATTTGGGTTCTAAAAAATGGACGATGAAAGAAAGAAAGAAAGAAAGAAAGAAAGAAAGAAAGAAAGAAAGAAAGAAAGAAAGAAAGAAAGAAAGAAAGGAAAGAGAAAGACAGAGAGAGAGAAAGAAAGAAAAAGAAAGAAAGAAAGAAATCTAGCCCACAAACCCCAAAATATCTTGCAAAGTTTCAGCAATCAAAATTTTATATTCCTTTGGGCTAAACACCTGCAGGTAAGGGTATGATTCCCTATCTGGATAGAGGGAGAGGAGGGAGGGAGAGGAGAGAGAAAGGAAGGAAGAAAGGAGAGAAATGTATTGCCCCAACTGGAACTGGCCAGTTGGGTCCACCCAGAGTACACTAGAGAATATAGACATCCAATGTAAGAATCCTAGCAATTTATTAGTTGTCAATAAAATAAGGATAACCGGATGCTAGACCTTCTTGGCCAAGCTGCATTTCGAATAGATTGATTTTAGTATTGTCATCTTGCAGACCCTTGTGCCTTAGAGAAAATTGATCTACCAAACTGCTGCACTAAGATCAGAGTAATACTCACTAAGTCCTCAATTACTAGTGCAGCAGCAATGTTCTGATGAGAATTTCCTTGCTTTCACTTTAATAAGTGCTCACAGAATTGAGTTGAATTGAACTTCTGAGATTCACCTCTCTAGTCGTTGTTTCGTGTCTTACTTTAAAAAGTGATTAGCTCCTGTCCCTCCTGTGTCCTTTGCTTTCTTTTGAAAATCCATGTTTTAAATCATACTATTTGATTTGACTGACAGGGATGTTGTTTCATGCCTGATTGATGATATCAGAGATGGTCTTTGAAAAGTCTTTGTAACCCTCCATCAAAATTCCAAGTTGAAAGTGAACGAAGAAGAAATGCAAACAAACAAACACACCCCGGGGAGGGGGAGGAAGGAAGAAAAAAGAAAAGAAAGGAAAAGAAAAAGACAGTGTAATTTCATGATGGCAATAATGCCTTGTGGACCGTGGCCTGGGGGCTTAGCCTTCTGGGAGAAGAAAGGAGTCCCTGGTGCACACAGCTCCACTGGCTTGGTACTGGAATTAGAATGCAGGTAATGATTGGCTGCCCAAGTTATTCATAAATAAAAGCAGCTGGCTTCAACAAAAAGTCCAAGTTCCCGAGGCTTCATAATTATTTATGAGCCAGGTCAGTGTGCAGAGAGTGTTACCAAAACACAATGAGAGCAAACAGCCTTCTTTCCCTTGAGAAAACCGCTGACTTAAAAAAAAAAATTCTGAAAGAAAAAAAGAGGCCTGTAATACATTTATTTTCATGTTATTATCTCCTTATGTTTCTGGATGGTAAATCATATAAGAGCATTATTATCATGCCAGCCTTGCAATAGCCCGTTGAAACAAATCCATCCGACGTGATTACAGATTTAATTAATTTGTTGGTTTAAAAGAAGAGACTCAAATTTTCACATCAGCTTTCATTTGCTGGGACAAACTGTGGGAAACCACCTCTAGAATTGAGTTACCAGTACTCGTTGCTGCTATTGTTGCTGGTTTTGTTACCTCTTCCTCCTTTTCTTCCTCTTTCTCTTCCTTTTCTCCCCCCCTTCCTCCACTGGACTCACTCTTCTGTGACCTGTCAGCTGGGCTTGGAGGTGATGAAACTCTCTCCATCCCAACCCTAGTAGCCACACCTATCTAAGACACAGAAAAGAGAGTTCTCTATATCAAAGGAATTGGCATTGTCAGATGGTTCAACATCAGCAACTGGCATTATTTTATTAATGTAAATAACGATGAAAAAAGAGTCTTTGCCTCTGATTTTGCTGTTGTACTCTAAGGCCTTTTTATCTGACAAACTGAAGAATGTGAGCTCCTTGAGAACAAGGATTACTTGAATTTTTGTGCTTTTATCCACATTGTTAATTCTCTACGTGTAGTAAATGCTTAATAAAATGTTTTGACTTCTCTTCCTCCTCCTCCACTTCCTTCTCCACTCCCTCTTCCTTCTTGTTATTCTTGTTCTTGTTCCTCTCATTGTTCTTCTCTTTCTCCTCCTCCTCCTCCTCCTCCACCTTCTTCTCCTTTTCCTTTTCTTCTTCATCTTCCTATTCCTCCTTCTCTTCCTCTTCTTCCTCCTCCTCCTCCTCCTTTTTCTTCTTCCAAAATTCTAAAAGTACAAATCAACAGAGTCAGGTGAAGATAGGCTGGGGACATGCTTGATCTGACCATACCTGTTAAAAGATAATTTTGGAAAAGCTCTTTTTCAGCTACCTTGTTTCTATATACCCTTATATTCCTATTTTTAGTAGCTGCTTGTAAGAAAATTAGTTGCTTTGTTGATCTATCTTCTGAAATGCAGGTCATTTAGTTCCACTCATCAAGCATGCTAAATAATGTGGAATGTTAGTTGCTCATTAAGAAAATATCTCAGAAGAATTGGTGCAGAGTTGAGTCTTAATCACTGGCAAAAATACAATGGACATGTTCAATTTGGAATGTCTATGATGGTCTTTAGCCAGGAAAAAACAAGACTTGGCAACATAAAGGACTTATTTACAAAGCTGGAATAGGTACATTGGTAGAAATCCAGTGCTTGAGGTAGAGTAACTAAAAAGAAACATTATTTGTTTTTCATAGTGGTTTTAATCCTTTCTCCATGCCCAATTCTTTGCACTTGGGAATTTATGTGGAATACCATGCCCTTGTTCCATTTCTATTTTCTCTTCTTACATATCCTTTGCATCAAAAACAAATAAACAAACTCTATTGTAAGATTTCCAATCAATGCAGTTTTGGAGCTGAGGTTAGAGTTCCTGGCTTGAGCTCTGTAGTCCACATACCTCTTCTCCTGTCTCATCTATATTCACTTATTTATTCAGTAAATATGAACCTAGGTATAATGCTGTACGCAGAATGTGGTCTGGGTGTATACACCATTTACTCTTGGCCTGAAGGGAATGTGAATGACCAATTAGAATGCTTCCTGGAGTGTCCCAGGACAATCTGGCTCTCACTGTATGCATACCTATGGACAATATACAAGGTGTGGTGGAGGTAGGGGTGAAGGAAAGAAATGCATTGATAAAACAATCCTTGTTTCCCCATAGTGCACAATTTAACAGAAGAATAGTAGTATAGAAATATACTATAAATCAAAATATGAGTACATAAGAGGAAGTTTGAGGGCCATGAGATCAAATGAGGGAGAGATATCCAAGAACATACAAATGGAGCTATGATCTCATTGATATTGTCATGCCCTCCAATGATTCAGATCATAATCCTGTGTGATTGTCCACATTCTCCTCTAAGTTCATCTCAGGGACTACACTTAACATGCTGGGAGCTGGGGGTTTCCTTCCTTTCTCTTGACAATGTGAAGATACTAGTGGAGTACACAGCTTTCCATCTTTACTCTTGGCATGAGACCAATATGTCTTCTTTTTGATCATTTCTTTGATGATGTACTTTCCTTTAGCTTCTATAATTCTTTGTTTTTTATGTGTTGCAGGCTGGTTATATCCAATACACACCTCTCTCCTGCCCTCTGTGTGATACTAATTTTTAGTTCCATATTTTCATAATCAAAAATTAATAAATACAGTGCTATCTCATATTCTCTATTTCATTTAGTCAATTGTGTGATGGCATAGTTATGGCTTATTTTGAAATTTGGGCCCATAACTGTAATTTTTTCACTGTGGGGAAATTCTGATATGGAAACTCCTTCTCCTGGCAAAGAACTACCTGAGCCAATGAGAGGTTAAATGATTTAATGCATGATTATCTAGTCAGAATATGTCAGAGGCTGAATTTGAACTCAGGAATTCTTGACTCCAAAACCAGCTCTCTAGCCACCATGCTGTGGTACCGGGAAATTTTGCTTGCAAAAGGCTACCCATCCCTTAATAGTAGTCCAACCAATGATTCTTTCATGCCCTTCTCAATACACACACACACACACACACACACACACACACACACACACACACACAGATACGCACACAAAAGAGAATGTATATGTGTATATATATGTATACATACATGTCTTTAGGTTCTTTCAAGCTCTAAACCTATAATATTAAATATATATTCATTAGATTACAAAAAATAAAATACAATGATAAATATTAAACATATACAACCAAACATTAAATACAGAAATAATTATTAAATATTTCATTAAATATCATGTATTTAATATTCGAATATAATTCACACATAATTATCAATTAATTATATAATTAGTTATATAAAAATCTATAGTTATTAATTTTTTGTATGTATATATATATATATGACATCTGTTCTTATTAATGCTCTTTTTGTCACTTTTTTTTGGTGAAGTGGTGGTGAGCTTGAAGGAACCTGAGGAACCTTTATCGTACATGTGAGAAAACTGAGACCCTGGGAGATGACTTGTCCAAGGCCACACAAGTAATAAGTACTAAAGGTGGATTGGAACCCAGATCTTCTGACTCCAGATGCAGTGCTCCTTCTCCTGAACTATGTTGTGACCTTTCTCTTTCTCCCTTCAGCTCCCTTCTCCCCTTCCATAGGAGACAGTTAGAGTCTCTTTGAGTGTCTCTGATGTAACTCATTAAAAAGGAAGAGGGCATGTACTATAGGAACTACATGCTCACAAATAATGTTATTTAACTCTTTGTTCACCTTTTAAAAATTTTTTAAATGAACTAGTCAGGGTTAAGTGACTTGCCCAGGGTCACACAGCTAGTAAGTGTCGTGTCTGAGGCCAGATTTGAACTCAGGTCCTCTTGACTGCAAGACTAGAGCTCTAACCACTGTGCCACCTAGCAGCCCCTGTTCACCTCTTTTAAAAATGTTTTTACTATCACTAATTTTCGTTACTGAACTTTACAGATTAACTACAAGCAACTTTGTACCCTTTTGCAAATACCAAGACTCCTTGGCTTTCCCATGACTCTTGTCCAGGGTGCTTCTAGACGTCTTGTTGCACACTGTCATTTCTAGACTGTCTTCT